AACTATCTTAGCCGGTACTCCACGAAAGAAAATATACAGACAACAAATAAGCATTTGAAAAATGTTCCACATCATATGTCATCAGAGAAATGCAAATAAAAACAACAATGAAATACTGTATACATCTACTAGAATGGCAAAAATCCAGAACACTGACAACACCAAATGCTGGGGAGAATATGAGGCAACATGAATACTCATTCACTGCTTGTGGGAATGCAAAAAAGTACAGCCACTTTGGAAGGCAGCTTGGCAGCTGCTGACAAAACTAAACAAATTCATCATATGATCCAGTGAAAACATTCGTTGGTATTTACCAAAAGGAGTTGAAAACTTATGTCCACACCAAAAACCTGAATAATATATGTTTATAGAGGCTTCTCCATAATTGCCCACACTTGGAAGCAATCAAGATGTTCTTCAGTAGATGACTGGATAAATAAATTGGGAGAGTTTGTGTCTTTATGGTAGCACAGTTTATATTCCTTTGGGCATATATCCAGTGCTGGGTTGAATGGTAATAACCAATTTGCATTCCCACAAAAAGGGTATGAATATTTCATGTTATCCACAGTCTTGCCAGCATCTGTTGTTTTCTGACTTTATTAATAGTCATTCTGACTAGTATGAGATAGTACATCATCGTGGTTTTCATTTGTGTTTCTCTCATGATTCATGATGCTGAACATTTTTTCATGTTTGTTGGTGGCTTAAATGTTTGGGGAAGTGTTTGTTAATGTCCTTTGCCTATTTTTAATGGGGTTATTTGTTTTTTGCTTGTCAATTTATTTAAGCTGCCTATAGATTCTGGATATTCAGTCTTTGTTGGATACTTAATTTGCAAATTATCTTCTCCCATGCTTTTTCTTTGAGCCTCTGAGTGTCCCCCTTTTCTGTTTTTGTTTTTGTTGCAGTTGCTTTTGGGGACTTAGCCAAGCACTCTTTGTCATGACTGATGTTGAGAAGAGTGTCTTCTAGGTTGTCTTCCAAGATTTTTATTCTTTGAGGTCCTACCTTTAAACCTTTGATCCATTTTGAGTTCATTTTTGCATAATTAACAAAGTGACAGGTAGAGGTCCAGCTTTAATCTTCTGCATCTGGCAAGCCAGTTATCCCAGCACCATTTATTAAATAGGTGATCATTTTTCCATTGCTTGTTTCTGTTGGCATTGTTGAAGATCAGATAGTTGTACGTTTGTGGCATTATTTCTGAGTTTTCTATTCTGTTCCACTTGTCTATGTGTCTGTTTTTGTACCAGTACCAAGTTCTTATGATTACTGTGGCTTTATAGCATAGTTTGAAGTGGGGCAGTGTGATGCATTTAGCTTTATACTTTTTACTTAGGAATGCTTTGGCTATTTCGGATTTTTTTTTTGTTCCATATGAATTTTAGAATGTTTTCTTGTAATTCTATGAAGAATATTATTGGTAATTTGATAGGAATAGTATTGAATATATAAATTGTTTTGGACATTATGGTCATTTTTATTATATTGATTTTTCCAATACATGAACATGGAATATTTTTCCATTTATTTGTAGCATCTCTGATTTCTTTCAGCAGTGTCTTGTAGTTTTCTTCGTAGAGATCTTTTTCCTCCATGGTTAGCTCTGTTTCTGGGTATTTCATTTTCTTTGTGCCTATTGTAAATGAGATTCTGCTCCTGATTCACTCTCAGCCTGGACATTGTTATTGTATAAAAATGCTATTGATTTTTTTACATTGACAAAATGAAAGGGACACAGAAGCTGTGAATAACTTGGAAATATTTAAAGGTAATAGGATAATTAGCGTGCATTGTCTTATATCTAACAGGAATCAAAAGGGAAGAAAACTTATTGCATGTGTGGTGTTTGGAACATTGAAACCTACATCTTTTATTAGCTATAAGGGCAAGTTTCTGACAATTTGAGTTCTTAGAAATAGAATGAGATACTTTTTCTAAATTATATAATACACTCATCTATAAAACAGAGGAAAATTTACTTTTGGAGACCCTGGAGTAAAAAATCTTCTCCATTGTTTTTAAGATAAAGAATGAATACACCTACGACTTCTTTTTATTCTCCAGACCTAGTTCACATTTGGTTCCTTTCAGCTTCTGGAATATGCCATATCATCTTAGCTATCTGAATTTTTATTTATGCTTTCTTTCAGGTTAAACGGTCTAACTAAATCCTATCCCTCAATTGCCTGGTGAAATTTTATTTCTTCTAAGTGTCATTTAAAAGTTACACCATTGGGAAAACATTTCCAATTTGTTGGGCTAGATTAGAGCTTCTGAATACAAGCTTTGGAAAAGCCACCTATAATTTATTTTATTTTAGTTTTTTCTTTTTCTTTCTTTCTTTTTTTTTTCTTTTTATACATAGTCACACTCAGTTGTCCAGGTTAGAGCAGGGCAGTAGTGTCATCATGGCTCATTGCAGTGTCTACCTGGTTGAGCCTGGTTAAATCTACGCTCCCACCTCAGCCTTCCCAGTAGCTGGGCTGGGACTACAGGTGTGCACCACCACGCTCTGCTGATTTTTTTATTTTATTTTATTTTATTTTTTGTAGAGACACAGTTTCGCCATGTTGCCTAGGCTAGACCACCTATAATTTCTAATAGTACAACTTGAGACTGTGAGCTGTACTATAAGCCAGAAGGTAAACCAACTCAAACTTATCTTCCTCTTTATCCAAAGTAACAGTACAGTGTCTGAAACATCAAAGTACTTTCAAATATTTTATGAATGAATGAATGTATAAAACAGGATGTTTAACTAATTTTTATAACAATTAATTCCATACCTAATAGTCTCAAATCACAAGTGTGGGCAGACACAGTCACCTTTCCTCTGCTTGAAAACTGTAATGCCAAATTTTATTCATAAGTTATTCTCTTCGACTGGAGAAGAATTACACTAGCGTTGGTGTTGAGAGTTGTAGGTACCCAGTATTCTGCTATTTTCAGTGCTGAGAAGGCAGGGCACAACTCTCTGTCTGGTCTCAGAACCACATTTGAAGCTGGTCTGCATCACAGGTCAGCCTCCACAATTTTAACTTTTCAGGTTAGGTTTCTCCAGCATCAGGTTAGCAAATAGCCTCACTTTGATAGTTCTGATGGATGTGCTATAAAGCTATGTCCTAGATTTAGATATGATAACATAGAGACAAATAACCCCAAGATTTCCATTTCTCAAAGAAGCAAGTTTTTGAGAAAAGACACAGTTACATTTGGCACTTCCCCCATAGTCTAATTTTTTATTCATGTCCATCCTTCCACACTGACATATGTGACATTATTAGCATGCAAAATTAATTGTGTTACTTTCCTGCTTGAAAACTTTTAGCAGTTCCTCTCACTAAAATAAGGAGTAATGTCTTATAATGACCAGGGTTGGTTCAAGAACTGTTTCTGCCTACTCTTTTATCCTTGTAGCATAATTGTATTACCCTGAATATTACATGACCTTCTGGGGTTGCACAAGCTTCTTCCATTTCCCTTATGAGACTGCCACCTTTTAATTAGTCCATATTTCCTATATGAGCTCAATCCCCAGTGATTTAAGGGTCTATGCAAACACCACTCTCTTTGTTAGCCCTTATTTCACTTATTTGTGTATATGACAATGTGTAAGACAGAGCAGTGGATTCAGAATCACACCTAAGACAAGTGTTGTAATTGTGGTCATCTTCCCTTACATTATATAAATGATGAAAATCGAGTGAAATAATCACTGTGAGAGGACTCTGAAAAATGAATGTCAGATTGCAATGAATAATGGAATATAGGGGGGATAAAAATATGTAGGTTTGTCCTATACTTAGGAACTATAGTGAACATTGAAACTTCTTATATCAGCTGAATAATGCAAAACAGCATCCAAAGACTGTTGACCTGCCAATAATGAGTAGGATGGTTTGAACTGAGGAGAGACACAAGGCAATTATTTAGAATATCATGAAAATTCACACTTAGAAGTTATTAAATTCTGAGAAGCAGAAAGATAATAACCTGGGAGCCAAGAAGACATTTTTTAAAGGAAATTGACATAAAATGACAACTGTTTGTAAATTATAAGACAAAAGAGTATGAACCACATGGAAGCAATGCAACTTAGCAGGATTTATGGCTGTCATAAGTTTCTTCATAAGCAGCCACAGATGTTTTTATGTTTATGCCATAAAAATAAAGCAATATTGTTTGGGCTGCTTTTATACAAAATTGTTGCTATCAAGTATAATAATATGAATATCTATAATGCATATCTATAATAAGGCTATAATAATTTTCTAGTTTTGATCTGTTTTATATTGACCATTACAGATTTGGAAGACTTTGATTATGTTCATTATGGCAAATGAAATAAAAGTAAATTATCCTGGAGCTATCCAGAGGACAATGACACAGTCATGTTGGGACTGAGGAATCTTGATGTTTAGAAGGAATTTCTCAGGAGTCCTTATACCTATCCACAATGATAGTTATCACTTTGAATAATATCAGAAGTCCTTGAGCCAAACTTTCTACTTTCAATGATTCTTAGGTTTGGGTCTTTGAGCATTCACTCAAAAAATAAGCTTTATTTGCTTAATGAGAAATAGTACTACAGCTTTCCATGAAGGAATACTGTAAATATTAAATAAAATCATCCACTTAAGTGATGGATACAGTGCTTGCTATTTCATCAAATCTGAATGATATATGTCACTACTATCATCCTCATTATCATCTTTATTGTGATTATCATTGTCATTTGAGTTGTTATTAATGAAATAATACAAGCAGGGATTCTTTAAACCTCAAGAGTTTTGATTTTATTTTTAGTATTTCTCCGCGCATACTCACTGGAATATAAGTTCAATGGAAGTAAACTGGAGGAATATTTTGGAAATGTGTTACATAAAAGGGCGTCACTGTATTTTGATAAATCTGAACAATAAATCTAACATATTACATGTATGATCAAAATGAAGGCTGATTTTGATATGACAACATGACACTAATTCTATTCATGAACATGCTTTGCTGTCCAGAATTTTCTTCATGGCAAATTTGACATCCTTATTCCTCAGGCTGTAGATCAAGGGGTTTAGCATGGGCACAACAGTTGTGTAAAACACAGATGACACTTTCCTTTGGTCCATGGAGCTGACAGATGATGGCTGCAGGTACATGAATGCTGTAGATCCAAAGAAGACAGCAACAGCTGAGATGTGGGAGCTGCAAGTGCTGAAGGCTTTGGACCTGCCCTCAGTGGAGCGAATGTGGAGGATACTGGCAATGATAAAGATATAAGAGGCCAGGATAGTTAAGGCAGGCATCAGGATGTTAAATGCACTCAAGACCAGAACTAGTAATTCATTGATGTAGGTGCTGGAGCAGGAGAGTTCCAAGAGAGGGAAGAGATCACAAAAATAATGGTTAATCACGTTAGTCTTGCACAGAAAGAGTCTCAACATAAAGCTGGTGTGAATTGTAGATCCAAGGATGCCTAAAATGTAAGCTCCCACTGTGAGCCGGAAGCAGAAGTGATAGGACATAATGACATTGTACAGCAAGGGACTACAGATGGCAACATAGCGGTCATACGCCATTACAGCCAACATGTGACACTCTGCAATAGCAAAAATGCTGAAGAAATAGAGCTGAGTCATGCATTCAGGGTAGGAGATGATGTTCTTGTCTGTCACAAAGTTTACCAGCATTTTTGGGGTAATGACAGTGGAATGGCAGAGATCAGTGAAGGACAGACTGCTGAGGAAATAGTACATGGGGGTGTGCAGGTGAGAACTGAGCCCAATCAGTGTGGTCATGCCCAGGTTGCTCACCACTGTGACCACATAGATTCCTAAGAACAGGAGGAAGAGGGGAAGCTGCAGTTCTGGTTGTTCTGAGAGCCCAGCCAGAGTGAACTCAGTCACTGGGGAATGGTTTCCATGGTCCATGTTCTTGTCAACAGTTTCTAAGTTTTAAAAAGAGAAATTGAATGTGTTTGTGTATGTGAGAAATTATTTGTAGATCATTACATATTCTATACCTTATCAGAGGAGAAACATGATGCGGTGGTCTCTTGAACCTCTCTTGCTACTGTGTAACAGTCAATAATTCTGGTAGACCAGAGAAGGAATTGCAGACATCAAACATATTAAAATTTAGTTCATAACCTTTTGAGAGAAAACACCAATTTTTAAATTTTTGAGCTCAATATGAAAGCAAGCTACTGTTATTTCAGAGGATTCTTTTCTTTCCTGCCATATTCTCTAGGATATAAATACGTCATGCACATCAAATGGCACAGCGATCAGAATTTCATTTTACTCAGAATAGGAAAGAGAACCAAATGCTCTTTATAATTTATCAATATAGAAGTCCTGGCCAGGTGCAGTGGCTCATGTCTGTAATCCCAACACTTTGGGAGGCTAAAGTGGAGGATCAATTGAGCCCATGGGTTTGAGACAAGCCTGGCAACAAAGCAAGACCTCACATCTATAAAAAAAATAGAAGGGATGAGTTTATAAAATTAGTTATATTGGTCTGAGTTACTTTTCTTACAAGAATTTCAACTAAAAATGCCTGAAGAACTGGGTAGTGACCAGCATCATTCAGCCTGAAACGTTAGCTCTTTATTTCTCAACTTGCTTTATACAGACCTGCTATTCTGCAAGATAGGAATATAACTGCTTGGCTGATTGCATCCTTATATCTCAGGAACTTTTCCAACAGTGAGGGACTGGCCACTCTTATCTAATTTGAATAATCCCAAGGGAGTAATATAATGGCGTCAATTCAGGTCACGTATTATCCCATTCTGGCCGGGGTGGGGTGGCGGGGCGGTGGGGGGGAGCAGAAAGCTATGGCTGGTCTACATTAAGTGTACTTCAAGGCTGAATTGGAGAAGATCAGAAAAGTACCCATATTCTCCAAAACCGAGAAGGCTTTTGGAAGACAAACACTAGATGTCTTCTATACTGGTCACTTTTACAATCATATATTTCACCTCTGTGCTGTATAAAATTTAAAGATAATGACTATGTGGATTAATAGAGCAAAATAGACTACAATGCAATTTAGACTACAATTCACAATTTTAGTCTAAATTCAAAATTAGTCACCTGTGTGATGTGGTTTTTCAAAAAAGGCTAATACATCTTTACCTTTGCAAAGAAAACTTGTAGATTCTAGATGAAAGAAATTTATGGTCTTATTTAACACTCAAGCAACAGCTGGATCAGTGTTTTCAGTTTGGGGTTCAATATTTTATGTGAAATATAGAAAAACCGGACAATATCAGAAACATGATCTAAAGTATTGTCGTTTGAAAAATTATTGACATGACTGAGGATTTTTAGCTAGCACAGTATAAATATATGTGGCACTTGGCATTTATATCCAGATGTTCAAAATATTGCTATATTTAAGATGTACGGGACTCATTGCATATGTCTCTAAGAGAGAAAAAATTAAAACTAAGTGCTTCAAATGATGGAGAGAAACATTTGGTTTTACAACAAAAAAGAACGTTTTAAAAGTCAGACACACCTTAATTTATTTACAGCCAGAAATGTCAGAGTGCAGCCTGTGTAACCATTTAGGAGACATTACTCAAGGACACAGCATGAGCTAGACGCTTGAATTCAATCATCTTTAATGTCTCTTCTGCTTCCTATATTTCATGATTTTATAATTCTAATGGGCTGTAATATTAGATTAGGCGATCTGGGTTAAAATATCATCTCAACCCCACACATGCTGTGTGATCTTGGGAAAATTACTTCCCATATTCAACCCTCTAAAAAATAGAAATGTTAATATGATTCTCATGTAAAAGTCAAATCATGCATAGTTCTTATCTGTTGGTAAGAACTTAATAAATATCAATTTTGTTTTAATTGTAATCTATTGAGCCTTTTCTGAAATACCTTTTATTTGCCCAGATTTTTATTCCGTTAATGATGGCTGCAGGTTTTCTCCTCCTTCATCATATCTTGTGTTTACTCCTTCCTGCATGAATACACATATTAACATAGAGATTCAGAATTATTTTTTACTAAACGGTAGCCTCTTTAAATCATCAATATTTTCTATTTCCTCATAGGAAGCTCAAATCAATATCTATACCATTCAAAGATTGCTATCCTCTGGCAACCAAAATAAAAGTTTTCTTCTTTTATGTCCCAACAAGTATTACATGATTTGACGATTTGGTACTCTCTCAGTTTTAACATTTGGTACTCTCATTTAAAGGAACATGATGTTCCTTTAATTTTTCTCTTCTCTCTATCACCTCTATCTTATGACATCCTATTTAATAATGATGTTTAGTTAAGAGCTTTAATAGTGCAAACTCCACCTTACAAAGTCATTTTCTGTGTCTATACATATTTCTTATGTTTACATGTAACACTGATTTCATTCTGTGTTATTATAATTTATTTACTTGCTTTTCTTCTGTACTAGACTATAAATTCCATATAGTGGTTGGCACAGTGCCTTGCATATAGCAACTCAATAAATATATGTTCAATTAAACTGCTGAAAGAAGCTTAGAGATAAGTTAACATGGATTCAAAATAATTGAACAAAACCCTCATACTGCCTGAGTTGAAACAAGTAAACACAGATGTGTTTGCCATAAATGTATACGCAGAGAACAAGCAGATGACAAGGGAACCGCTGTTCAACAAGGTGTGTGAATGTGAGAGCAAGGACTGGCAGAGACAGATGAATAGCTGTGTGCATCTCCCATTGCACTACAAGAGAGGCTAGAGCAGGAGACTCCAAGATTTTAAAGTCAAAGACTGGAATTCAGACATACCTTTACTTTCTGCTGGAGTTCAGTGTTGTACATTTTTCTTGTCCATCGCTCTGGAGGAAAAAATGAATCTGATGACATGAGGAGGTTATCGCCCAAAAGTCACCTTGGCAATCATTTTGAGTCATTCATCCTGGTCTCTGGCAAAGCTGATGCCTAAAGTCATCTGGAACTCTGCAAAGGGTGGTTGATGTGAGGATTTTATGTGCTGGGTAAGAGTAAGAGTCTGATTAGGAACAATGATAATGACCTCCCTCTAGATTCTGTTCCCACAAATGTTAACTCTTGGGAAAAGAAACAATTAGAATTTCTCTTTCCCCCTATTGGTTCTCAAGTGTTTCCCCTTTGCCACATGTTGTGATTCATTGTTCTTGTTATAGTAAGTATTGGAATCAAGGATGTGAGAGACTTTGTTGGAGTTCTGGTGAGTTTTCATCTCTTTAGTGAGACAATGAAAACTTTAAAATTTCAGCAAATTTTAAAAATATAAACTAAAGGAATTGTCCAAAGTGATGTGTCATGAAGGGAAAATAGAAAATCAGAAATAACAACAAATTTTTCTAAAATTTGAAAGTTTTCATTGTCATTTACCTCTACTAACAATATTTTGATATCATGATGCATTTATAAAATAGTAATGCTTGAAATGTTTTAATCTGGGGGCTGCTCCTCTTCAGACCAATGGAGAAGAAAATGCTTTCATTCAGCCCCCAAGTTAAAATATGATAGATGTTGCCAAAGACCCTGAGGAGTTCCTAGTAAGCCTAACAAGGAGTGATGATGACTAACAAGAGAGAATTTCTTTTCTTCAAAAAATAAGAGTGATGTTGAGGAACAATAAAGACGTGTGTTATAGAAATGATTTTTGTACTTGTATAAAACAAATTATTTTAGAAGTAAAATTATATTTCATGCTTTATTAAATATTCTATTGATGGCAGCAGCAGGCCATCCAGAACCACTGCTACCATAGTGCCAGCTGCAGTGGGGAGGCCAGCGGTGGTGGCAGGAGAGGCTGCGGGGACAGCAGTAATAGTGGTAGGGCCCCTGTCCCCCACGTCTCAGAGGCAGCTAACTGAGCCACCCCCACTTTCATGTGACCATGTAAGTCCCACCCCCAGGCCTCAAGATTCTGCAGCTCCTGACCCTGGCCCTGTGTCACCAATTCTGCCTGTTGCTGCTGCTGTGGGGAAGGGTTAGGGAGGAGGCAGTCTCCGGAACCTGCCCCTGGGAGCCGCCTAGAGCCTGCTGTGGTGGGGGCCACTGCGAAGGGGCTGGGTTGAGTTGCCTGGTGGGGGCGCAGGGCTGACCTGCATGGAGGCCAGGCAGAGATGGCCCCAAGGCAGAGCTGGGCCCTGCATGGTGCTGTGCTTGAACATGGAGTGTGGAGGACGGGCCAGAGGGAGCATCCACTTCAGGGACCTGGCCAGTGGTATGGCCACCATGCCCACCTTGCTGATGATGCCAGGATTCTGTTCCCTGAGAGGAGGCTTTGCACGGAGGGCTGAGTCTCAGGGGTCTGCCCCACATCTGGGTGACCACCAAGCCTGACACTCCCGACCTCCAGTCCCAGGGACTGAGATTAGTTCCTAGAGTTGCCCCTGAGGCAGGGTCACAAGCTGGCCAAGTGGAGCCGTGGGCTTCCCCTTAGCACTAGGGCCATGGGAAGAACTGCCTTGATGTCATCCCTCCCCTGGATGCAGCCCAGGCCCAGTGAGGGCCTAGATCCCCCAACCCAGGCTTCAAAGAGGCATGGCTGGGGCTGCACACTCCAGGGCCAGGGACAAACAGGAGTCTGGCCCCTTCCAAGCTGGCAGGGTGGAACTCCCTGGGTACAGCTGCAGCCATCCTGCCTCATCTGCTGTGGCCGCAGGCCCAGGCATCTCTGCAGACTTGAGGGCCCGGGAAGGCCCTCCTGACCCTCCATGGACTTGAGAGTACCTGCTCCCTCTGCCTGGCTTCTCCCTGCTGTTGGTGCCAGCTCTTAGTTAGGACCAAGCCCAGACATTTTTGCAGCCCAGCAGGGGTTCACATGCTCAGAACAGCACTGACATGCCTGCCCCTGAAACCTCAGCCCCCACTAAATTTTTGACACCAACCAGCATGAGAGGGAGGCCAAGGAGTGCTGAGGACAGCCTGGCACTGACTTGCAGGTGCCCCTTGGCATGAACAGCCTGGGTGTCATGACCAGCAGCAGGAGGCAGACAGGCTCCTGGGCAGAAGGTGAGGGGTTCCTGATCTCCAAGCTGGAGAGGACCTGAAGCTTGGGGATGGGGTCACCAGTCCCATAGGCCAGAGGGGGAACTTAGGGTGATTTTCCCTAGGCCTGCCCATGGCCACTCATGGACTAATCAGTACAAGCCTTCTCCCCTCTGAGGCCCGTAAAAAAACAGACTCAGCCAAACTGGAGTAGAAGAGAGGATGGAAAGACAAAAGGGAGATGATGGGATGACGAGCTGCAGAGAGGAGCTGCCCACCCCAGGGTCTCCTGTCTGCTGAAAACAGAGGAGATGATAGGATGACCAGCTGCAGAGAGGAGCTGCCCACCCCAGGGTCTCCTGTCTGCTGAAAACTGAGGAGATGATAGGATGACCAGCTGCAGAGAGGAACAGCCTCTCTGATAAGAGCTGGACACTTGACAGGATGACCTGCCTAGCAGAGAGGAGTTACCCTCTCTGGTGAGAGCTTGACACTCACTGGGACACCCTGCCATGGAGAGGAGTTGTCCTTTGCAGGGCTCTTCTGAGCTATTCTATTGTGCAATAAAGCTCCTCTGTGTCTTGCTCACCTTCCACTTGACTGCATGCCTCATTCTTTCTGACCTGAGGACGAGAACTTGGGACCCACTGAATGACAAGGCTAAAAGAGCTGTAACAGAAACAGGGCTGAAACATGCCGTTTGCTCACCATGTTGTGGGTGAACAGAAGGAAAGAAGAGCTGCTGCCCATTGAGGATCCCAAACCTGGGAGCTCCCTGAGATAGCACTGTGACTCCTTCTTTGGGGCGCTGCAGTTCCTGGTGTCTCCAAGCTTTTGGGTGCCACCACATTCCCTGGTGTCAGCTGGGGAAGCTGCTTGCCGTGCACCTAGTCCAGCTGCAGCCTTGCAGAGTGTCAGCACCTGGAGCTGCCCAACCTGCATCAGCAGCTGGTGTATCTGACTGTGTGTGGTGGCTAGACCCCATGCTCGCTCACACACTCCTCGCCGCTTCACACCTGACTCACAGTCTCCCTTAGAGGCGTGGGCAGGCCAGCAGTGTGAACCTAGCACAGCCTGCCTGGCTTAGTGGGCAGAAAAAGCCTAGAAGGCCTGAGCAAAACTCAAGCAAAGGAGCTACTGGCCACAGAGGTTTCTGGCCAGAAAAGCAATACCCCAAAGATCCTGTAACAATATCGTTTTTGAAACAGCAATCGCCATAAATTTTCTTAATTAAATTAACTTTGAGATGCATTAAATTATTGTTAGTTGTGGAGCTTTAATCTACTTTTTGAAGTTGTTTTGCAAATTGCTGTAAAAAGGATAAAATCTTAGTAATAGAATCAGTCACAAGCTGTGAAAAAATGTTGCTTGTCAATAATTAGAAAACCATAGAATAATAAATATGACATGATGTGATGCAAGACACAATTATTTTCCTCAAGAATTTAATAATCTTTATAGATATAATACAAGCATTCATTAACAGTAAACCACACCAGGGAATATATCATTGTTACAGTTTTTGTGATGAGCCATAGATGTGCCTGGTTATAGCCTGGAGTGGTGAGAAATGCATGCGAATGAAACACTTGTTTTGTCACTGAAAGGTGCTTAAATTTGGAAAGTCAGGATGGAGTCAAGAGCCCATTTCAGGATGGGGAAGCAGCATGAATGAAGGGAAGCAATAGGAATGAGCCTAGAATTGTCAACATATTATAGGTACTACTCTACCCAGCATCACATATACCGTCCCAGAAAACGTTAATCATTATTAAAATGTTAGTATATTTTATGTATGTACTACACGTTTTATTTTAATCACAACTAACACTATTCTTACATGGAATGCTAAATCCAAATATTAAACTCTAGAGAGAACAATAGAGTCACCTATGACTTAATACAAATAGCGGAAAGTGTGGAAAAAACCTGTTATTCATTCTCCCTTTATTCTTCAGCAATAAATTTCCTGAACCTTAGTTTGGCACAAAGCCATACAGATTACCATAGCACTTCTCAGTTCCTCAACAGTAAGGTTTGTCCATGTGACTAAGTCTTTACCAAAGGCAAAAGAGGTGGAGGTGAGGTATATCACTTCCAGGCAGTGTTCTTCAACTTAGGGAACATTCCCTTCTCTTTCCATATATTTCTGCTTGATGGCTGGGTGGTAGAGATGAAGGATGGATCTGGAGCAACTACTTGAGACCAAAGATGAACATTGCATGTTGTAACCAGGAAGGCAACAATTTATAAGAATCTTGTATCTGTGATAAGCCACTGTACCACTCCTGAATCATCTTCTGGTTTAAGGCATCACACACCTACATGTACACACACACGCACACACACACACACACACATCTATGGGGTGTGTGTGTGTGTGTGTGTGTGTGTACCTGTGTGTGTGTGATGTGATGCAGCCAAGCCTAACCATAACTAATGGAGAACATAAAAATAATTCTGCCTAAACTCTACTTCTGTGACATACTCATGTTTCCTGAAAGTGGTAAGTGCGCATGAGAAATTGTTTTCTTTTGAAAATGAATACATGGTTGTGTCAGAGAAATAAAAGACAAACTAAACTCTGAGAACAATATCCGAGTTTATCACAGTGCTTCATCCTTCTTTTTCGTGGTAATGTTTTATATCCAGTTTGGAATCTACTGGATATCTATCCTAACACTTGAATACCATATTTTCCACCAGTTGTCAGATTCACTAGAAATGGTTCAGACATATTTCATCATTAAAAATACATTTTAATAGTTTTAATATACAAACAAATGCTTAGAAACAGAAAAATCATAAACTGTAATTTTTACCTATCACCCTACCAATATAAACAAAATTTACCAGATGTTGTTTAATGCCTAGAGTAATTAAATAAAAAGACATACACTTTTTTTTTCTTTCGAGACAGAGTCTCACTCTATCACCAGGTACCAGGCTGGAGTGCAGTGGCGCAATCTCGGCTCACTGCAATCTCCGCCTCCTGTGTTCAAGCAATTCTCCTGCCTCAGCCTCCCGAGTAGCTGGGACTACAGGCGCGCACCACCACACCCAGCTAATTTTTGTATTTTTTTAGCAGAGACAGGGTTTCACCATGTTGGCCAGGATGGTCTCAATGTCTTGACCTCGTGATCCGCCCACCTCGGCCTTCCAAAGTGCTGGGATTACAGGCATGAGCCACTGCGCCCAGCCCATACACTTTAAAAAAATATATATAAGCAATACAAATGCATCTTGATATATAATACACACACATACATCTGTGCTACACATAAGCATACATACATATATTACTAGATATACACACATATTTTTTAGGATGAAAACATGAAGTATAAAGATAAAGACTGATTAGTACACAGAAAATCAGGAAGGAAGTTTCCTCTATGATTCAAAGAGTGGAATAACCTGTGTGTCATTAGGAGATTTCGGTTTATGGTGAGATAAAGGTGACATCACACTGGAGTGTTCATGTTACATACATGGAGGCAAGCAGATGACAAAGCAAGTGTTATTTTATGCCTGTCCGATTCAACAAAAGATTTGTAAAATGTGATTTAACCAGGTTATTTTTTTTCAGAATTAAAGACAAATTAGTGTCCCAGTGCTCTGCTTCTGGGCACAGCAAAATAGATGTGAACAGTGAAGAGCCCTGGAGATGTCCACACTGATCTCCTTAATACAACTTTTTTTGAAGGCCTTGAAGCTCAGAGGCATCAGAAAGAACACAACCATAACCTGTCCTCTAACAGTAGCTCTAGAATCAAACTGAAACATCTGATTCCAAGACTCTGAGGAGCTATTCTAGGGAGACACAAGAAAAAATATCTATGTGCTGCTACCACAGACAAGAGAGAATATGGGAGCTGAGCCACTGACTGTTCCACCAAGACCTACTGAGACTCACTTACGGGAACAATATAGAAGAAGAAATTTATAGGCTGAAAGTCTCTTTCCCCCTCAAAAAAAATGTTTTTACCCAGAGTATACAGTACATTTTGGGTAAGAGGGGTACTTGTCATTATTCAGAAAATGATTTTCCTGTTTTAACTTTTCTGAGTGAATACATAACCCATATGATTGCAATAATAAAAGAATGTCATTTTAAATTCTGGGATTCTATAGTGTATGTGGAGGAAAAAAACGCATTATATCTCTGGGATAAAGGAAAATTAGTACAGGATTATTAGGAAAATGGAAGTGGTAGCATAGTCCCAAAACTGTGGTGCAAGAAATGTTACACAAACATATGTCAAAGTACACAAAATGTATTTTGTAGTGTTTATTACTGTCAATCTCTTCCATTAAGTATTATCTCCTTATGGGTAGAAACTGTTTTATTACCCATCATATGCCTCCATATTCCCTAATATATGTCTACACACTTAGTAAGTATTAGTGATTGAATTTTGTATTCAAAATGGTTGCAATTATTTATTTTAGAGATAACACTTCCAGAAGTGTTTACCTATACACTTAGTAGAAAAGCTCAGGTACACAGGTATTGAGAATATCATAGGGACTGACAAGATGTAATTATTCCCTAAAGTGACATAAATAGTTTTGCCTAAGGTGCCATATTCCATACATATAAAGTATAATCACTCACATGGAGACTTCTGAAAAATTTTTAAAATGTTTAGAAGTGATACATTTTACTCTGGGTGGATGAACTCTGTTGCATCCCATAAATGGTGCCCATATGTTACTGATTTTATAAATTCAGCCTTAACTTTGGCATCTTTCTTCCAAATAAGCAAGTAGTAGCAGCCATCTCATTACTTGTGGACATACCTTGCTGTCTCTAGATTGTTTCCTTATCAACCTTTTCCAGAAATTAACATTTTTTTGCTAAAGCAAAATACCCCCCTTTACAAGAAACGTCTTTTTTCAAGGAACTTATTTAAGGCAACTTTGACATCTTTATTCCTCAGGCTGTAGATAAGGGGGTTCAGCATGGGCACAACAGTAGTACAAAACACAGATGACACTTTCCCCTGGCCCATGGAGCTGACAGATGATGGCTGCAGATACATGAATGCTGCAGACCCAAAGAAGACAGCAACAGCTGAGATGTGGGAGCTGCAAGTGCTGAAGGCCTCAGACCTGCCCCCAGTGGAGCGAATATGGAGAATGCTGGCAATGATGAAGATATAAGAGCTAAGGATGGTGAGGCTGGGGAAAAGGATATTAAATGCACCGAAGCACAAAACTACTATTTAATTGATAGAAGTACTGGAGCAGGAGAGCCCCAGGAGTGGGAAAAGGTCACAGAAGAAATGGTTGATTACATCAGCGTAACAGAAAAGCACTCTTTGCATGCAGACTGTGTGAGCTGTGGCACCAACCAAACCCATGAAATACACCCCAACTACCATCCAGGAGCAGACCTGATAAGACATGGCAACATTGTAAAGCAGTGGGTTACATATGGCAACGTAGCGGTCGTAAGCCATTGCAGCCAACATGTGACATTCTGATATGACAAGAACAAGGAAGAAGTAGAGCTGAGTCATGCATGCTGCATAGGACATAACATTCCTCTCTGACACAAAGTTCACCAGCATTTTTGGGGTAACGACAGAGGAATGGCAGAGATCAATGAAGGACAGACTGCTAAGGAAATAGTACATGGGGGTGTGCAGGTGAGAACTGAGCCCAATCAGTGTGATCATTCCCAGGTTGCCGACCACTGTGACCACATAGATTCCCAGGAAGAGGAGGAAAAGAGGCAGCTGGAGCTCTATTTTGTCTGTTAGCCCAGCAAGGATAAACTCAGTCACTGTGGAATAATTTCCTTCTACCATTTTCTCTGGAAATTTTATGCAGAAAGAGAAAAAGAAAATTTGAGTTAGGTATTTATTATCCCACTAACACAACCAAATGTGAAACGAAATTCAAGGTTTTTTTAACCAGGTAGTTGCAGTTCTCTGCCTGTTCCTCATCTATGTTAGCAGTAAAAGACCCTGGGATCCCAGAAATATGGGATACACAGATACATCTCAGAACTATCTCTGTTTGTATTCTATGCTATGAGAGTGGATATTGGTACTGCTCAATCCCTGAACACCCAAAGAACTGTACTGATAACTTTGACTGAATGTTCTAAGACCTTCTCATGCCTTGTTTGTAATCCTCCCGACTCTTTCAGTAGAGCAAATGCTAATGTACCTATTTTACTACTAGGTAACGGAGTATAATAGCGATTGGGTATTTGCCAAAGTTAGGCATGTAATAAGTAAATAATCAAGGAGATAAAGCCTGTCTGTCTCACCTTTCATCTATTATTTTAGCTGCTCATGGCCTCCCTCCTACCTTTACCTCTTTTTTCGTATCAGTGAAATCACTTACAACAATTAATGTGAAAGAAAAAATTCACGTAAAATACAAACGGTGACGTATCCACACTATTCGAGGCTAGATTTCCCTTAAGTGAGTTCCTTGACTACTGGCGCTGCTTTAAAAACATAGAAATCATGGCTCTAAAAAGTAACTGAATGGTTAATATAAACCATTTGTACTCCACATCCAAGAAGGGTTTGAGTTTCCTAGTGAGGAGAATTCAGAGTAAGAAATAATAAATATCAAATGTATTCATCCCAGAAACACTGATGGGGTGCCCAGCATGTGCTAAGTACTCTGGTTTGTCCTGATGTGGTCCATAGCCCTCTAGGCCTGTAGGAAGACCTGGACTGCAGGATGGCAATCTTGCATGATGCTTACACTGTAGTAACAGTGTGCACTGTGTCTTGATATATTTTGCACTCACCTTCAAACCAGAGTTTTTAACAGCACTTGCTCAGTGGCAAGGAAAACCAAAGCAGGAAAAAATATGGATATCTCTCTAGCTTCAGGATAAGAGTTTGGAAGAAAACTAATAAGGTCTGAGCATAGGACACTGTGATGACTGTTCTCTGTTGAAAAGAAAGAGATCTGAAAGGTAGTATAAGAGATTAGTGAAGTATCAGTAAACAAAGGTATCATTCTTATTGAGATAAGATTGAAAAGCAAGATGATATTTCTATTTATTTCGTGTTTATCACATGCTTAGAACTGTCCAGGCACTTTCATAAATGTTAAATGATTTCTTTCCCCCATAGCACTATGGGTTACAAGAATATTAATCCCATTTTATAAATGCAGAAGCTACAATATTCAGAGACTTGAATAATGTTTTTCATGGTAACACTGTGGCTTTTCAATATAGATGTGAATGATGATTTTCTAGTAGTACAGATGAAACATTTGACTTAGCCATGAGAAATTAAAAAAAAAATACATGAGCTAATACTGATATCTTCTGAAAATGCCATCTTCCTAAAACCAAATCATGTACAAACACAGACTAGATTCAAAGAACATAAGCACGGCAGAAAAATTATAAAGATTATACTTGGCATTTATTGAGCAATTTAAATTAGACCAGAGTCCATATTTGTACTTATGACTTATACATGCATAGATTGTTCAATACATGGTGGATAAATAAAGGGACTCAACCGGGTTCACAACATGAAATAACTAAAATAAAAAGCCTTTGTCTTTCCCAAATTGCCAGTTGCATCTGAACTTCTTTTAAGTGCATGGTGCCTTCCTATCACTAAAATGTCTGCTGTGTTTTCTAGGCTTACACTGCAGGTCATGGGAGAACAGGTAAATATAAAGTCAAAATTTCATATTTTTTGTAGTACTTTGCCTCACAGTACCAAGATATTTTGAGTACAATACTAATGATAATTAATAGTAAAATGATCTGTTTTTGTTACTGGCAGTTTTCACATGCTTCCTACTTGCTTATTACTTAAATTAGAGTCATGTAAAAACGTGATAGTAATTACATTTTGAAATTTTTTAATGGAATAGAAAATGTTTTTCTGCCACTTTTTGTCAGCACTTTTTGTCTACAGCAACAGAGTTCACTCATAATGGTGAAGTCCTCCTAGAGTAAGGACTTACTTGTAATTTTTAAGTAACTTTTGGTTATCACAGTTTCAAATGTATATATAGAACAGTGATAACTGGGGAGGGGAGAGCGAGATGGAAGAATAGAAAGCTCCAACCGTCATTCCCCCAACAAGGACAGCAATTTAACAACCATCCACACACAAAAAAACTGCCTCATAAGAACCAAAAATAAGGTGAACACTTATAGTTCTGGGCTTTAACTGCATATCCTGAAAGAGGCACTGAAGAGAGAGAAAACAGTCTTGAATCATGGACACCACACCTCCCCCGCCCCCAGCAGCTGTGGCCTGGCCAGGAGAGCATCTCTGGGCACTGGGGGAAGGAGAACACAGCAATTATGAGGCATCGAACTCAGTGCTTGTCCTGTTAGAGCAGAAAGGAAAGGTGGAACAACAGCTGATGTCCGCCCATAGAGGGAGCATTTAAACCAGCCCTAGCCAGTGGGGAACCTCTGATGCCAGCAGTCAGAATTTGAGTGCCAGCAAACCTTGCCACCGAGGGCTACAGCACTCTGCGTCTTCAGGTCCAACTGAAGGCTGTAAGGACTGCAACTCTTAGGCAATGCCTAGTACTAAAGTAGGCCCAGAGACAGTGGCCCTGCGGGGACATATGACATACTGAGACACCAGCGAGGGCAGTCAAGGGAGTGCTGGCATCCTCCCTCCCCTAACCTCAGGCTGCACAGCTAGTGACTCCAAAAGAGACCCCTTACTTCCACCTGAGGAAAATGAAAGAGTGGGGAGGACTTTGTCTTGCTTCTTGGATATCAATCAGCTCAGCCACAGCAAGAGAGGGCACCAGTCAGAGTCAGCAAGCCTCTCTTCTAGGCCATAGCTCCCTGACAACATTTCTAGACACACACTGGGCCAGAAGAAAACCCATTGCATTGAAGGAAAGGACCCCGTCCCAGCCGCATTCATCACCTGTTAACTGAGGAACCCGCGGGCCCTGAGTAAGCAGCAGTGATACACAGGTACTATATGGAGGACCTTGGGCAGACACACACTCACTTTAAAAAGTTTCTTGTGTATCTTATCAGAGAAAAAAAATAAATTTTAAAAAGTACATAGAGTTAAGGAGGACTGAAATCACAGTATAGTTGGAGATTGTCAGAAAATATCCAGTAGGTTTAAGTGAGGCACCCAGTAATTTGCTATCTGACATCTTCTGACTCCTCACTTTGCCATCTCCTGCAGAGGTCAACCATCCCTAACTCTGAGTCAATTCTATATATTTCATTAGAAAAGTTGATGGAAATCTACAGTACCAAATTGTCAGCTCCTGAACAATTCAAACTCTTGCTGATTTTGCAAGCCCAGAAATGATAGTTTCCCAGTTATCTTTTATAAGATCCCAGTTATTTATTTTAATATATTTCCCAATTTTACCTGTGTTAAGAGAGCTCAGTTTCCATATCCTCTTGCATTTCTGACTCTTTGCATTGGCCAGTTGACATTTTTCCTGTGTTCCTCGCCTCTCACAAGTCTGTTCGACTTAATATTAGACCCCATCATAGAAGCTCCATGACCTCTTGTCCAATCTTTGTAACTTTTACAGCAGGTGTGGGGCTCTGATTGATTGCATGTGAACAGTTCCTACTGAAGTCTGACCCTGACACATGCGTTCAATGCCTACTGCTTCCTCTTCTACCCTGTTAACAACACCTGTGTGTTTGAACGCCCACGATCTGTACTTGTAAAGAACTTCCAAACAACCTGGCTGGGTCAATAGCCTTAGCCTATCTTAGAGATGAAGCAAAATAGCAAAACAGCTTAAGGGGAGCAAAGGATATTTTTGTTTTAAACCATTTTACGGAAGTAGAATTGATATACAAGCACCTATTTAAATGTGTATAATTTGATGAGTTTGGACATAGGTAAACATCCTTGATGCCATCACCACAATCGAGGTAACTGATGTATTCATGACCGCCCCAAGTTTTCTTGTGTCCATTTATGTTGTTTGTTTTTCTAGTAAGAATATTTAAAATGAAGCATGCCCTCCAAACAAATTTTGAAGTCCATTGTGTCAACTATACACATTATGTTGTATGGCAGATCTTTAGAACATATTCATCTAGCATAACTGAAAATTTATACGCAGTGAACAACTCCCTGTTTCTCCCACATCTCAGCTCCTGGAAACCACTATTGTATTCTCTGATTTTATGAGTTTGACTATTATACATACCTCATATAAATGGAGATATGCAGCATTTGTTTTTCTGTGACTGGTTTATTTCACTTAGCATAATGTCCTCCAGGTTTATCCATGTTGTTGCAAATGGCAGAATTTTCATTAGTGGGGAGTGGGAGAGAACTGTTTTGAGTTATCATAAAAGAAGGCAGTGATGACTCAGAACCAGAAGAAAATTGCTAAAGTATATCCAGAATTATTGTTTCATTAGAGTTTTTACTAGATTAATAGAATAAAAGAATGGTGTAGTCCTAAGTTATATTGATTTTAATACAGTGTTTGCTTAACCTCTTGAAATAGTCTATGGGCATGATATAGTTGTGTGTGCTAGGTGAAAATACAGAATAATATCTCATAGTTATGTGAAGTTAGGGAGCATCTAAAGACTAATCATAAATTTAGAAATCTTCAGTTGTTATTTCATAAAAGCTTATATTTAGCCTTGTCTTGAAAAATCATGCTATCAGTAACATGGATAATGCCATACAATAAATTATTACAAACTGTGTAAATTATACTAATATAGAAAATATTAACAAATACTTATATGATAATAATGATCCAAGAAGATATTGTTAGGTTATTAATATGGACTGATATTGCCAAGAAGAATTTAACAGCAATAAGCAAATGTTTGCTGTGGCCT